GCGATTCACTAATCAGTAATAATAGTCAATCAGACTCGCGAACGATTACCTCTTGTAAAGTTAATCTTTATTGTTTATCTATTAGCACTGGTATATAAATTATTTTTTGCGGCGCTGAAAAGTTAACGGTTTGACGCATATTTCAAAATCATTTCACCAATATATGATCATTTGAATAATGATTTGGGTGAAGAGTGTCGGGCCAAGAAATTTCTAGAAACTCCTCGTGAAAACGATCAATTTTCGAGTTTTTGATTTTCGAAATAGCAAGAAAGATTAATTTGTTTAACAATTTTGTTTAGTATGTGTGTGGGCGTAGTTTCATACATAATACAGGAGACACATTTAAATTAGAGGGAGAAATGACTGTATTGGATCTTGGAGAAGTAGGCGAAAGAAGAAAAAAGATTACTTACATTGCGTTTGACTCGCAGAACGTCTTCCGAACAAATATTGCGACCGTCGTTCCAATCCTGGAAAAGAAAATGGTTATAAAATTGTCTTTATTTTGTAATTCATTGCAATTTCTTGAATCCAAATATTTTTTGTGATATTGTATCTCCAAAACTAACGATCAACAAACAGCATTAAATTCTTACAGTGTCCACACATACACCATAATATCTCGTTGCGTGGCTTGACTTGACATTTGTCAACAAAAAATTCAAAATGTCTAATCTAATTCTTAGAAATAATTCAGCTCGTCAAAAATCCACCCGATATAAAAAAAAAAAAAAAAAAAAAAAAATAATGTTTATGTTCTTTGGGAGATTGTATCTCCAACACTAATAATCAACAAATAAAATTGGCCACACAGGCACTACACTCTCTCGAAGACTGACTTTTTATTTTTCAACAGTTGGATTGATGTGAGTTTGTGACCCTGGGTTTCATGCTATTTACGATCGACAGACAAACTGATTAATTTTTGAATTTTGGATCTATACATGGTTGTGTATATCGGTGTTTTTATGGCAGTGGGAGGAAAAATTGTCGTCGGAACGCCACTCATACGTACGCAGACATACATACACACACGTTTACGCATTGCAGCTCACACAAATATATACGTATATGGTGTGGGACTGGACGTATATGCGCATTCATGTGTCGTTGCGCGCATACGTACGCAATTGGTCGCTGTATTCAATGTTGGATTGTGTAGCGAACTTCTTTCGTATATATATATATATATATATATATATATATATATATATATATATATATATATATTCATTTGGTATATTGTTTTTAAAAACAAATTTGCTGGCTTTTCAGTTGTTTGCTGATAAGGACGCATTTAAGACAAGCAGGCTTTGCGGTAAAGTGCTCAAAATGGAAGACAGAGATAGGGCGTTAATAGAATTAATATGATAATGGTTTTTTCCCTTAACTCATGTTATCTTCGGAGTTTTGTGGCTATGTAGGTATAACCACTCGTCGGAACAGAGTTAAACTGCTGTTATTTCTCGGTTCTCTTTTTCTTTTATTGGTATGAGTCTGTTATCTATTTCCTTTCGTTTTGATGGGTGTTGATTGATTGTTGATTTCCCTTCCTCTTCCACCCACCCCTTTTTATATTTATTCTATTTGGGAGCTATCGATAGTTGTGAGAGCACAATGTCGCAATTCATCGTAACCGAGGCTTTGAGTGTACTGTCCTTGCCCAGACTGTTGATCACGCCAAATAATGCGCTTTTCCCCAGAAACTGTCAACAAGTCCTGCTCAGCATAGTTACAATATAAACCACAGTTGGATTCTGAAGGTGTGGGAACAAATACAAATGTGCCTGAGCTGGCGTTTGCGATAGGGATTAGCAAACCACCCTAGTAGACAGGCATACTCGGATACAGGCTGCCAGCTACCACTCTATCACCCTCTCTCTCTCTATCTCTCTCTCTTTCTATTCCTCTCTCTCTGTTTCTCATTCTCACTCTGTTTCTCATTCTCTCTCTCAATTTCTCGTTCTCTCTCACTCTCAGTTTCTCATTCTTTCTCTCTCAGTTTCTCATTTAGCCTCTTTCTGCTTCTCATTTTCTCTCACTCTATCTCTCATCTCTCTCTCTCTCTCTCTCTCTGTTTCTTATCTGTTCACCTCTCTCTATTTCTAATTTTCTCTGTGTGCATATCATTCGCCCCCCCCTCTCTCTTTTTTCATACTCTCTCTGTTTTTTATTATCTGTCTGTGTGTTTGTCTGTCTGTCTCTCTCTCTCTTTCTCATTCCCTTTTAGTTTCTCTTCCTCTTTTCCTTTCTCACGGTTTTTATTCTCTATCCCACGCGGTTCTCATTTTCTCTTTCTGTTTCTCATTTTGTTACTGTCTCTGTTTCTCATTCACTCCCTCTCTCTTTTCCTCATGTTCTCTTTCTCTCGGTTTCTCACTCACTCACTCTCTCTCTCTCTCTCTCTCTCTCTCTCTCTCTCTCTCTGTTTCTCATTCTCTCTTTTTCGTTGTTTTTTTTTATTTTCTGTCTCTCTGTTTCTCATTCTCTCTCTCCCTGTTTCTCATTTGCTCTCTCTCTCTCTCGGTTGCTCATTCCCTCTCTGTCTGTTTCTCATTCTCTCTCTCTCTCTCTCTCTCTCTGTGTTTCTCATTCTCTATCTTTCTCTGTTTCTCATTCTCTCTCTCTCTTTCTCTCTCTTTCGGTTGCTCATTCCCTCTCTCTCTCGGTTTCTCATTCTCTCTCTCTCAATTATCAGACAAGATGTGTCCCCTTTTCAAAAGTGAGTGTTAATCATCTACATTCTTTTTTATTAAAAAAAGAAAAGAAAAGAAAAGAAAAAAGGAAATCTGATTCATTAGAGTCTGTCTTGGAAAATCTCGTTTCATCCCCGGAAACAAGAGTCCGCTCTCCGCGGGAGAAGATTTGTTTCGTCCTTTGTCTCCTCCATCTGGATTTCCGTGAGTGGCTGGTTTAAATGTCGGACCTTCAGCTGCATCCGGCCGTGACGTATGAATTGAAGAAATTAGAAAGGCAGGTGATTGGTCGAATACCGTTATTTGACTGCTAAAACATTATTGATATTTTCTACGCATTGTTGTCTTCACACAAATAGCAACTGATTGTTTTCACTGGAGATCATGTGGCAACAAGTCCCCTCTCCATACCCGTACTCTTCTCCGTATTCTACCTGAGATTAGTAATGTCATCAAGATGGATTGCATTCTTCCGTGGATTTCCACTCCCACCTTGCAAGACTTTTTGGCGCTATTCCAAGTATTCTAATGATTATAGGCACAACTGTTACTCTCATATTCCATAATGTGTTTTCCGATTCTATGTAGATGTTTGATTATTTTTCCAGGTTGGATCTTTTTTTTTTCAATTTTACTCTTTTCTTTTTGTCCACAATGATCTGATCTCCTGGCATAGATTTTAGGATTCGTTTGAATTCTAAAGGTCGAGGAATTTTTTAACGTTTTTCATACGGTAACTTATTCGGTCGAGCTGCCACGGACTTTCATGAGTCCGTCACGCCAGCCATCACGCTCCGACATCAAGGTCGGAAGGTCATTAAGAGAGGCATACTGTATCATAACATAGCCGGTCAATGTAGGTGATTGCTGGGCGACAAACCCGTCTTGTTCCTTGGATAGGTGTCCAGAACAGTAGAACACTCGCGAGCGTTTTGCTCACCAGCAGTGTCCTGTAAAGAGCATTCTGCGTTCGCGTATGATTGTAGAAATATCAGGGATGGGTCCATAGAGCTGTGATTTAGTTGGATGTTGTCTCCAAGTATATCTCTCAGTATCCGAGTGTAGGTTAGATCAAGCTTAGATTCTAAGGTTTTAGTTATTATTCTAGTGTTAATAGACCACTGGTTTGTATAGTTGAATTCTCAGTGGATCGTCTTTCCTCAAATGCAGCAAATGTGCGAAATTCCTTTTTGTATCATATAGTTTTATTATTATCCGTCGAATTTTTACAGCAGGTGTAACAAATGGCGTTCTGGTCTGCCAAATGGCTGTATGAGAGATTTGTCAAATGGTGAAATCGAACGAGGTAAAAATTAAAATCTGCTTAATAAAATAATTAGAATTAATCCGGGGTTTAATGATTTACTAAGCGTGGCTTAGATGTGACACAAGGCCGAAAGTAATTGGCGCCCTGTGAATCCGGTCGTAGTTGGTCTAGCGAGACAAACTTGCTAACCATTATAAGTGCCCGAATTAAGGATTTACTAAGGCACGGTGGTGTAATGGATAACGGCGCGGGTTGATGAATCGTAGAGCCGTGTTCAAATTCCAGTTGAATCCATTACGTTCACTAACGTGCTAATACATTTGAGAAAGATATGAATCCTCTTATTCTCCCTCCAGCTATGGGTAAATAGCAGGACAAACCAGGTTCTCTAGCTCTGGATGACAACTGGTCTACCGTAGAAGTAGAAAGAAATGGCAACCTACTGCAAGGAAAAAAAAATCTGCCTCGTAAGTCATGTATGAAAAGACACAAGATCGCTTAAGCGTGTATCATGCATAGTGCATAGCTGAAGTAAAGCGTTAAGTATGTAGCATTTAGTGAGAATCGAACTCACTACTCAGCCGTAATGAGATCTGGCGAGGTAAGCTTGCTAACCATTACACAGCATCGAAGTTATACCAGGTTTTTATGTTATAAATCTAGGAAAACCAAGGCAAAACTCTCACCGTTCAAGCGAAATCCGTTTGTGTTTGCACCTTTGACATGTGATATTGCTATGTAAAAGAAGCTTTTAAAATTGTGGAAAAGATCACTGAATTAAGGCTATAAAAAGAGCCGTTGTCATGAGTGAAAATAGCCATAGACAAGGTTCTTAATGAGAACGATATATATTCATGACCTCAGAGCAGCAAAAATCACACACACACACACACACACACACACATATATATATATATATATATATATATATATATATATATATATATATATATAATAAAAGAACATAGAATCAACACTTAGAGGTGACAGTCTGTTTATTGCTAGATGCAATCGTCAGGCCACCTGGTTAACAAAAGAACACCGAAGTTAAGCAACGTCGAGCCAGGTCAGTACCTAGATGGGTGACAGCTTGGGAATACCAGGTGTTTTAAGCTTGGATGTGCGGGTTGTGTAATGGATAATGGCTCGGAATTTTTAATCAAATTCCAGTTGGATTCATTCTATTCTCTTACGCGAAAGTATCCTTGCCAAAGATATGAATCTACCTCTTCTTCACAGCTATGAGTTGATTAGTAAGATTTCTTTTCACTAAATAATTGTTATCTCAATATATATATATATATATATATATATATATATATATATATATATATATATGCATGCCACTGGAGATAGAGGAAGTAAGAAATTAGCAATTCTTTTTGTTTAGGCCTAATATCATGCTATACTGTGGAGTAATGGATAGTGGCTCGGATTGAGGAATCGGAGAGCCGAGTTCAAATTTCAATCGAATCCATTGCATTCGATTATATGCTAATATCTTCGGAAAGACATGAATCTTCTTCTTCCCCCAGCTATGGTTAAATAGCAGGACAGACCGAGTTCTATAGCCTTGGATGGAAACTGGTTTACTGCAGAAAGAAATGGCAATCTACTGTGGGAAAAAAAAAATCTGCCTCCTCAGTCATGTATCGAAACATACATGATCGCCTAAGCGTGTATCACGCATGGCACATAACTGACTGATAGTAATACCCTTTTATTTACTTTATTTATTTACCATATATACTCGTGTATCGAGCAACTCCCAAATTTTCACTTATAAAAATAATTTTATCATGTATCTCGTGTATCATGCTTTTTTTTGAGAGACCAAATTATAATTGACTAACCTCTTTTCGGAGAAAAAAAAAGGTTTGTGGGACACCAAGAACGTCTTTTCGCCACTGTCAAACGGAGAAAAATGGCGTCTCCGTCTCTTTATCTCATCTTCTCGTTAAAAAAATAATAGAGAATGATAAAAGTATCGTTTGTAACGCTATACTCGTTGTGTAAACGCGTACAGCCGTAAACAACCGAACAAGAAACAACCAAACATCTTATAAACAAAATCCACGGTACCTTGACGTGGTGTAATGGTTAGAACGCTTATCTTGCTAGATCATTTAGTAGTGAGTTCGATCCTCACTGGGTACTCCATACCTTCGGCATTGTGCCACATTTAAGCTATGCTTAAAAAATCAGTGAAAAAGATGCATATACGCTATGTTTGTATTTTATAATACGATACTTAATATGTGAATGTTACATGCATTATTATTGGATACAGTTAAGTAAAATATCAATTTTATCAAAATCATGTTTATTTTAAATAGAGCTGCTCGTTTTGACTACAGTAAATGGATATATAGTTTTAGATCGTAAGAGTTTTTTTTTTGTTGTTGAGATAACAATTATTTAGTGAAAAGAAATCTTACTAATCAACCCATAACTGTGACGAAGAGATAGATTCATCCCTTTGCCAAGGATACTTTCGTGTAAGGGAATAGAATGAATCCAACTGGAATTTGATTAAAAATTCCGAGCCATTATACCACCTGCACATCCAAGTTTAAAACACCTGGTATTCTCAAGCTGTCACCCATCTAGATGGCTCGACGTTGCTTAACTTCGGTATTCTTTTGTTAACCGGTATTTCAACGTGACATCAACGTGAGCTTCATATATGAAATGATATCACATAATGATATAATTTGGGTGACACATTCTTCTTAAGAAATACTAAATGAAAATAACGTTATTAAATATGTCCAACTTTTTTCTGTGCAATTTCTGTTTGTTTTTGTATGTTTTTAGAGGTTTATTTTTTTTATACAATTCTCTTATTAGAATTTATTTACCCAACTTTTCTTTTTAAAATTTATTTTACTGGCATGAACTTATGAACGATATTTTGTAATAATAATAATCGTGTAATAATAATAATAATAATAATAATAATAATAATAATAATAATAATAAATATATAAATAGAAAGAAAAATTCATATATATATTTTTAAAAAATGACCCAAATAAAACGTCCCATTGCAATAATATAATTTACAACTTGGTGATTTTGAAATCAAGGCGCCATTTTCTCAGTAACTTGTAGGAGTTGTTTCCCTTACACCACGTCAATGTTTATTTCAAGTATTTCGATAATAACCATAGCTCCGCCCTTCTTCTTCTTCTTCTTCTTCTTCTTCTTCTTATTATTATTATTATTATTATTAGGCGTGGCTTTTGGGTGGGTAACTTTAGCTTTCAACTTTGTTTTACTGTATTGAGGTGAAGTGAACAAGTGGTTAAGTCGATTATTCGGTCGGCTCTCTATGTATTGTAACCGAACAGAAAACAAAAGAAAAGAGGTGTATATATCTCAATGGGTGTTCGAGCCAAGGTTTCGAATGTTAATTTTTAGTAGATTGGCGCAATACAATCTTCCTATTTACACTATTTACAGTCAGCCTATTGTCCTCATCTTTGTTGTTGTTATCACAACGTTTCGGCCGTTGTGCCCACCCGCCTTTATCAGATCTATATCGATTCGGGTAACCAACACGAAATTCTGAACTGAACACTTTATTTAATCTACTATTTAATTCAACTGTTCTCGTTCCACTGCCCATATCAAGAAATATCGTCCATTTTAATATTTCATAATTTTTTTTGTCCGCTCGTTTCCACTGAGTCCAAGTACATACTGCCCGATCCAGGGACTGAACTCGTGATTACTGTGTTTCCAAATTAACAAATCAAGGCTTTAATCCACTAGGCTATTGTCCCTTAGGAATAATACAATTTTTATGTATTTCTTTGTAATCATTTCACCCTAAGCAACTTTATCGATACCTCTGTATCATTACACGTTGCTGGAGTGCTGTTCTGTCAATCAATAATAATAATAATAATAGTAATAATAATAGTAATGTCTTTATCAGACTTGGTGTCTTGATCGTTACATTGGACTTCGTATATTTGTACCCCAGCGTCACGTTATTGGCGTTCTGCTCTTTTACATAATAATAATAATGTTAATAAACTGTGGCACAAATATGCGAAACACCCAGTCTAATTATTGTATACCAAACACATGCATCACAGCCAAATGTTCGCGTTACGGTTGAGATGCATGTGCTTGGTATACAGTTATCGGAATGGGTCTTCCTTATCGTTATATTGCGCTTCGTATATTTGTACCCCCCCCCAGTTTATTATCATATTATAATTCAGCTGCTTCCTTAGTTCGCTATTTAGTCAATTTTTACGGAAAAGACATATCAGTGACGCTGTTTGATTTCAATGAATGAATAGAAGAAAGATAGATAGAAAGAAAGGGAAGATAGTGGACGCGATAATAACCGCGTGTGTTTAACGCTTGCTTCAGTGAAATGGGGAAAAAAACTTGTTAATTTCAAATTTTTCATTCGTAACCTCCTATTTTTTTTTTTAAATTAATGGCCTGCATTTATATTTGTTATAACCTAGAAAGGGTTACAAAATGAAGAATAAAGAAAACGGTAATCTTTATAGCATCAAAAAAATACAATACTCGCCAGCGGCGTGAATTAGGTAAACCACTGCTAATGGTAGTCTGCTTATACAGCATTACACCTACAATAGAGTCCAACTTATTTATGACGATTGAGGCATACCCATTAGTGTTCATAGTATATAAAAACAATAAAGCTACTAAGGTGCAAAAGGTTACTGAGTGCTACAGAACATGGGAAAACATAATTAAGGAGACAGAATAATAAAAGAACAGGACTTAAGGAGAGAGAAAATAACGATTGGCATAGCATTACAATTTCTGAAGCAAGAAGTCTGAAGAGAATTCCACAAGCGATAGAAGAAACTATTAACATATCGAAAGATACATGATCGCCTAAGCGAGTATCAAACAGGGCACATAACTGACTGACTTGTTCTTACGCGTATGGCTTTCTGTAGTGAAAATGGCCGAGGTATTTACTCCAAAAAAATTGTCTTGAATCTTTTTACTAATGCAGCCCGCCTGGTGATGAAACAGAGGGTCCTACTGCTTGAAAAATGTTGTCCATGTCTGCTGTAAGTAAGTTTGGGTCCCATTTATCCATGTTCCGCAACCCCTTTACTTGTCCTGCTACTCATTAAGTAGTTTATTCGCTGCTTCGACCTATTTCTCATGCCTTCAATATAATATTGCTTCAATATATCCTGTTTGTCCACGATACGGCCATAAATTACAACCGTCAGCAAGGCCTATGATCGGGAGATTGGATGGTTTGATGATTTAAGGAGCAGCGGAACAACCTCTTAATTACTGTTGTTCGCAGGTCCACCTTGACCCAGGTGATAGTATCTGTTATGCTGCCAGGTATGACAAACAGTTGATCTTTAGAGTGAAAATACCAGTAATACATTTTCATAGTAACAAATGGCCAGCAATAAATTTAAAAAAAAAAAATTACCAGCAATACATTTTTGTTAAAAAAAATTCCAGTAATACATTTTTGTAAAGAAAATTACTAATGCTCTCAAGAAAATGAAATTTCGGCCTTAAAGGACCGATAAGGAAGATGGCGCTAAACAAATAAACAAACAAACAATATATACGGTGAGTGTTAAGTTCTCCAAGCCTGCTATTTTCATTATATGTTCCAGAAATTTCAACTGCCTCTTTGTATATATATATATATATATTATATATATATATATATATATATATATATATATATATATATATATATCTTTGTAGTTCCTATTTTTTTATAAATCTTCCTCGTTGCTCGTTCTGTCTGTGGTTTTTGAGTAATTATGGGCAAAACCGAGTCTCTGTCACTTCTTTATCTTTTGAGTGATTGTCCATCATTCATATCGGAAGAATGATATTAGATAACCGTTTATCACTCTTTTCTTTGTTTCTAACGAATTTTTCCTATCTCATAATATTTTACTTTGTTATTGGAAGGCATCTTTCTGCATTCCTATGCAGCTTTGTTTGTCACATTTTATGTCTACTAGGCGATCTATTTGAATTTCCTGTTCTAAGTCGTTCCAGGCACAAAATTATTAGCCAAAAGTGTTCCATTAAAATCTGAATAATACTGCCGATAATCTGTTAGGGAGTTAAATCCCACATGCTTATAAAACTGAGATCACATATGTTAAAAAAACTGTCTGAATGCATTTTCGATTTGGTCAACAGTGGTGCACATTTGCTGATCTGAAAATGCCTCTAAGAGCCGTAAAATTGATAATTGGTAGGTGACAGGCCAAGTGATTAAGGGGGGTGAGACGGGACTTCGAAACCTAAATGCCGAGAGTTTGCGAAGTATGAGGTCTTGACGGATAAGCCCCTTTCTGTTCACTAACACTGGTCAAAATATTTACAACTTGGATAGGTTTATCTTGTCCTACTTCTTGGAACACATGATAAATATACATCAGCTTAAATTGCAATATTTTCTCAATAACAACCTTGATTATTATCACCTATTTTCCCCGATATTAGAATTTGAGCCTGGCCAGTAATCAAATGGGTGACCACCGAAAGATACCAGGTACGCTTAAGCTACGCGACAGGCCTAGCAAGCTGGTGATGCGTACAATCCGGCTACTTATAGCAACAAAAGACCTCGATATGCAGGCATGCTTCTGGACCGAGGGGTTCTAAGACCTATCTAGAGTTGGGCGAGTCAGTCATTTCTCAAATAGGCTTTTATTATTGAATTGCTAAGCCCAGCGATAAATCGTAGCTATTGTTGTTTTTTAAGGTTAGCCGAGTTTGACACAAGGTTACGAGTATGGAACATCCAGTGAAGATCGAATTCACTACTCTGTATGTAATATTCAACTAGACCAGATCTCTAACTATGACCACATCCTCTGGAGCCTGGCAAAACATAAAGAAATATATGTATATATATATATATATATATATATATATATATATATATATATATATAAATTAATGCTTATTATTACTAGCATCTGTATTAAAGGTTGAAACGGAAGGCTTTTCATAAAGAACTTTCATGCAAATATCATACCTAATACTGTGGATCCAAAATACAGGTTCTATGACAAATCTCCTGGTCCGTACTTGCGTCAAATGAATATAAAAATCGTCCCGATAGAGTGGGGCAGTATTGACACTGGACCAGCACCGGTTACAGAAATAAAAGACATCACAATTCTATGGGATTATACCATTTTTAAAGACAGGAAAATTGAAAAAAATAGCCCAGACATAATTGTCAAAAATCGGGTAAAAACAAAAAAACAAAAAATGGCCTGCTAATTGATATGGCGGGCCCAGTGGACCGTATCATAGAAATCAAGGAATTTGAAAAAAACTATCGAAGACTTTCGAAATCAAAATAAAAAAAAAATGTTGTCATTAAAAAAAAAAAAGAATAGTGGTATGATAAAAAAGAAAAACAACACATTGAAAAAATTCCTGGAAATTTCCGCTTTAGAGAAATACAAAAAATTGCCTTGACAAGTACAGCCCACACACGAAGAAGAACTTTGTCCATGTAACGCGAGTGTTATTATGGAAGTTAGAAAAACAAATCATAAAATATAGCCATAACAACACATCACTACCTATCTTATGTCTTCTCTCATACTTGGTACTTAGTGTAACCACAGAAGAAATCAAAAAAGAAATTTTTTTTTGTTATTTTTACAAAAAATGATCCGTGGAAAATGTCATAAAGCCATTTGTGACCTTAGGTCTCTGGCTGTGATCCGGAAGGAAATGTTTATGCAATAGAAATCAAAGGAAATAATAATAATAATAATAATAATAATAATAATAATAATAATACAAATGAAAGACGCCTATAAAATAAAAATTATGTCTGAATTTTACGTATTTTAAGGTCGGCAGAATTTTGCTCCAAAAGTGCCTAACAGCCCGCTATTTGACTAGTTTATTCTAAGAAATGTTCAATTGACTTGTGTCATTGGCCGGCTCTACACTTTCGTGTGAAGCCGCTCGTCAACGTAAAAAATATTTTGGTTGTTTCTAAATATTTAAATAATGTTATATTCTGAACGGACTATGGTGTAATATGCATTTCAAATTTGAAATCAACGATCAGCGTTTGTTTCTGTGGAGTATAAATATGAGATCGAGTAAGCGGCTCAAAAGATTTATCAGACCATCTGACAATGAAAAGCGAAACTCTGGAGTCGGTCAATGAGATGACTCCATTGAACATTTATCGGTTTATTGAATAAACTAATTATTAACATGAGGAAGTCAAATTGCAATAAACGCACTGGCTTAATTTGAAATACTGGTTTCAACTGTTTCTTTCTTATTTTAGATTTACGTCCATATTACGTTGAAACACCAGTTCCTGTACTATCACCGAATTTAAGCAACGTATAGCCTGTTTAGTACTTAGATGGGTGACCGCTTGGGAATGTTACTTCGATGTGCGGGTGTTGTAATATATAACCACTTGGAATTGCTAATCTGAGACCCGAGTTCCAATTCCACTTACGCGCAAATACTCTTGACAAAGGTATAAATTCATTTCTTCTCTCCACATCTATGGATTAATTAGTAAGTCTTGTGTCACTAAATCATTTTTAAAGGCCTGACAATCAGAAATATTATCGAGTTTTAAATAACCTGCAAAGTTTACAGACCGTAGAAAAGGAACCAATAAATAAATAAATAAATCACACCAAAAGAAAGAGAGAGAGAGAGAGAGAGAGAGAGAGAGAGAGAGAGAGAGAGAGAGAGAGAGAATTCAAAATTAAGGTCCATGTACAAACACACCAATATTAATTCTATTACCAATAATCTTCCCCTGATCCCAACCCCGACTTGGTTTTCACGCCGGGAAAAATTATCCTATTTGCAACCCCCCCACCCCTGCATCGGACAAGTACTCAGCTAAAGGTTGCAAAACCGGATCTCGGAGGCAAATTCCTCTTTGATCTAAACTAAGTCACAGAATTGGTGAGCCCTCCCTGTTATGATATGCTTCTGTTTATATCAGTCACCCGGACTGCATACTGAAATGACGATTAAGGTTATTTAATAGCCGATAACATCATCGCGATTACCAACTAAAAGCCCGTCACTAATTTTAATGAACGCCATTTTTACTGTTCGCCTTTATCTTTGTTTTGTCGCTTCCTGTTTTTGTTTTTTTTAATTTTAATTTTTTTTTTTTTTGGGATCCAGCAGAATTAAATGGATAAAATTTAAATATGCACTACTGAGCTTTATTTGTCAGTCGGTGACCGAACATTCATTCTTAAGAACAATTGACTGCGCTGTTTCGTTTCTGATTTGTCATTTAAAAAAAAAAAACGTGGCTGTTTGCTGTCGTCTGCTGTACATACGTTCACTTAAAAGGCGCAAAATCTGCCTTTAGTTAACATAAAAAATTAACTGAGAATAAAAGAATAAATACAAATAGTAAATGCTGGAAATTGTCTCGTCTAAATAGGCTTAACATGTTTTTGCTTCAAAATTGTCGATGAAGAAAACGATGTTCATTAAATTTCAGATTATTTTAGAGTCAGTTTGGATTTAAGTTTTATAGCTATCTCATCATATCACGGACAGGAAAACAAAGTACGGCAAAACTATCATTTACTTTAATGATTGCATGGGCTGTCAGAAAAAATAAACAATGATCGTTCGTTGTATATTACTGTAACTTTGAATCTGGTATACTTAAGGAATTTCTTTTCTTTTATCTGTACTTACTGGTTTTGCTTCCTCGAACGATTAGACTTGGGCATTATTTGCATTTTCTATCTTTGGGACATTGGCGATCATTTCCCTCTACAGTTTCATATCCTTCAAAGCACGAAGCAATGTTTATCCCTTAACTGTACCTCGCAATATCTGTTCAGCCATTCATTTACATATGCTCGTTAGATAGGTTATTCGGTATTTCCCTCTATTTTCTCTTGACTTCAATATGTCCTGTGAGTGTCAAATTCTCCTAGCCTTATAACTTCTACTGTGTTCACATTTCAAGTGTTTAGTTAACTGGAACAAACGGAAATAAATTTAAAAAAAAAATGTTTCTATGAAATGACTTCACGGTTTATAAACATAAACAATTTTCACGTTTATTCAGCTAATAAAAGAAAAAAGAAATCTTTTAGTTAAGCTTTCAAGCAAAAGTTTTGTCATATTATAAATTTACTAAAAGGCTGAACAGATGCATTTATTGATCCCCAATGTGGCTTGAAGAAAATATCGAAAACCCCTGTCATAGTGCCTTAATAATCTGCATGTGAAGAAAATCGGCACATATATTTACTGTATATTAAAGACTGCCTGGGGCACCTCGAGGTGGTGTAATGGTTAACAAGCTTGTCTCGCTAGAACAATTACGACTGAGTAGTGAGTTCGATCCCCATTGGGTGTCCCATACTTTCGGCCTTGTGCCACATCTGAGCTACGCTTGGAAAATCATTAGGGCACCTCGGCGTGGGGTATTGGTCAGTAAGCTTGTCTCGCTAGAACAATTACAACTCAATAGTGAGTTCGATCCTCACTGGGTGCTCCATATTTTCGGCCTTGTGCCATATCTAAGCTACGCTTGGAAAATCACTATATTAAAAACTGCCTGTATTACCAATGTATTACAAGTTTTGGGGGAACTTACTCGCCTACCGGATTCATTCATGTTCATTGAATTCGAAAATCCTTCATTACGGCCTTGAAACAATAACAAGAATCACGGCCGAATTAAATTATTGGTATGGTGTGATTTTCTTTAATTTATGGAGGCTTTTAAATACAGGTGAGTCTACTGTTTAGGCAGGATAGGGTTTGACAGTAGAGAAGATTACATAATTATTTGTATTCTATCTTTTCACCATTTATTCGTCTAACTTCGTAATTTAGCGAAGCGCATTTTTTTTTTATTCGGGTCCTCCCTACTGTCCACAATTTGCGTTCTTTTTCAAGTAGCCACATTCTCTCGTTCACAATCTTATTCAAATAAAGACATCCCCTTTCACAATCCACTTCAATCAAATACGCCTTCTCCTTTACAATTCAATTCAAATAAACACGTCTTTTTTTCTTTTCTTTTTTTAACAATCCGATTCAAGTAAACACATCTTCTTCTTTATACTCTAATACAACTAAACACTTCTTAACAATCCAATTCAACCAAACAAGTCTTCTCTTAACACAATCCAATTCGGCTAGACACGTCTTCTTCTTTACAATCAAGTTCAACGAAACACGTCTTTTCCTTTAAGATCTTAGTCAAATAAACACGGTCTTTAATTCATGTTCATTCATCTTCAGGCATGGAAATTATTTTGTTTTTAGTACATCCAGGTAGCATCAGAGACGAAAGAGTAAATGCGAATCGAAATATGTTTCTTTTAAAAATGAGTTATTGTTAACGGATAAAAACTTTTAGAGCGTGCAGTCGCAACGTTAAGGTTGAATATTTTTGAAAATTTAAGAGAGTGCGTTTTTTACTAATATGGTAATTTGAGAATATTTTGCTGTAGGAGTATATATATATATTGCTTTACTTTGTATTGAGCACTTATTTAAAAGTAAATGCTACGAACAGCGTAATTTTACTTCATCTGTTCTTTCTCTTATTTGTATATATATATATATATATATATATATATATATATATATATATATATATTGGGTTTGATGACGAAACTTCGGATTTGAGGACAGGTTAGTAGCAGATATCTCTATATAATTCTAAATTTATCTTCTTGCATGTAGTTATGAGATTTCCATGTTTCTTGTGTAATTTTTTCTCACACTGCATCTACTTAGGTGATGCCAACGATGGTTCTATAGCATCTGAACACCTGACCAGCTTCCACTTCATGTCTCGGTTGCGTGTCTGTGAAGGATTTTCAATACACACATTGATTTTATCAGTTCATTTCCCGCCTCAATCTACTTCTTATTTTCGAGTGATTGATTGATTCGTTTTCTAATGCTTATCAACCCTTAGCAAGTTATTTAAAGCCAGAAAAATATTTTTAGATTGTAAGATTTTTTTTATGCGTGTTTGGGGAGATAATAATGGTTTAGTGATACAAGACTTACTATTTAACCCATAGGTGAGTGGGGAAGAGGTGAATTCATACCTTTCCCAACGGTATTTACACGTAAGTGAATATAATGTGTCCAACTGGAATTAGAACTCGGCTCTCTGATTCACAATTCCAAGCCATTATCCGATACACCACCAGCACATCTATACTTACAACAGCTGGTATTCTGAAGCGGTCACCCATCTAATTCGATGATCGCACGGGAACCGTTCTTTCAACGTGATACGGTTGTAAGTCCTCATAGTCTCTGTAAATGATCTCCCAGTCCACTCAGTGATGTTGTAGGTCATTTTTACTCCGTTTGCTCCATCTTTTTCCTAAATCGGTACATTATAGGATGACAGTGGAAACATTGCCCGGCTTTAGTACGTGTCAATAACTTTCTAACTCTAGGTTCTTGCAGGTGGTTATGGGATAGATTTTCCCGATAGGCCTGTTTCTTGTTTGATGTTTTCTCACACTGCCTCGTTCGTGATGCGATCTACTTACGTGATGCCAAAGATGGTTCTATAGCATCTCATTTCTAATAATTGGATTCTTCACTGTAGCTCTGTTGTTAATGTCCAAGATTTGCACATATACAGAAAGACTGAAAAGGGCAATGGACGCAGATATTCTTGACCTTTCCAATTGACGTTGCTTAATTTCCCGACAGCTGCCATTGTTACCCTTAAAAGTATCTCTATGCTGAAGCCCTTTTCGCTGATAATCAATCCAAGATATCTGAATTGTCTCTCTAGTTTAACCGACTAGTCATGGTGCTCCACCACTTCTCCCGCTTTTGAGTATAGTTACACAGTGAGTCAAACCCTAAGAGACTTGTCCAAATTGTTACGGTCAGGCAACTGACAAACGATTCTGGGATATCTACTCTTGCCATCTGAATTCACTAAGACAAAATATGTACATGTTGTCACCTCCAATAAATTAAGATTAAAATCCATGAGCGCTACCGTCCTGGGTAAGACGATAAACTACGTCCAGCAGCAAAGCCTATGATCAGGAGGTTTTGAGGAGCGTAGAACCACATCTTAATTGCTGGTGTTCCCTGGTCCACCCGACCCGGAGTGGTAGCACCTGTTAGGGTCCTAGCTATGGGCAAATAGTTAACCCCCAAAACTGAGGTCAAAACACTATGAAAATGTAAAAATAGGTTTTAGTACCAGCAATACATTTTTGTAAAAATTATTACCAGCAATACATTTTTGAAAAAAAAAATATTACCAGCAATAGATTTTGGAAAAAAGAATTACCAGCAATAGATTTTTTGAAAAAAAAAAATTACCAGAAATACATTTTGGGGAAAAAAATATTACCAGAAATACATTTTTGGACAAAAAAATAT